ACCCGTCGGAATGCCGGTGCCCCCGATCAGTGGTAACCGAGGCTTCCACAAGCTGCCGAAGTAGGTCAAGGGGAGGACCCAGCGCAGCAAGAAGAGCGGCAGGCGGAGGTGCATCCGCAGCGGCAGGCGCCACCACGACCTTCACCTTGGCCTTCGAGGCGTCCGCAGCAAGGCCGAAGGAGATGTGCACTGCCCTTCCAGACCCGAGCTGCCTCCGAATCCAGTCGACGCGCGCCAGGCAGGGCATGGCAGCGCGACCCGCAGGTGCAGGATGGAAGCCACCGCGCCAGCAATTGCTGGAGCCAAGGTGGTTATGATGATGCTGGTGCTGATGATGATGATGATGATGATGATGATGATGACGATGATGATTGAAGAGGAGGAGGATCATGATGCTGATGGTAATGATGGTAATGATGATGAGGGAGAGGAGGAGAAGAGGAGGAGGAGAAGGAGGGAGGAGGAGGAGCAAGAGGAGGAGGAGGAAGGAGAGGAGGGCGGCACTGGGAACACGTAGAGACGTGAGGGAGGGAAGAGGCGGGAGCGAGGAAGAAGAGGCGGGATGAGCAGGGAGGAGAGGCATTAAGGAGAGGAGGGAGGATAAAGGAAGGAGGTGTTAAAGGAGGGAGAAAGAAATTCGCCGGCCCGACGGGCCAGAGGCGTACGGAAAGCTCCGGTCACAGGCTTCGAGTGTTCTGCTTCGCGCGCGCGTGGAGGCCCCTGTGGGTCCACGGCGGTCGGTGTCACAGGTGCGAGGCGGGGATTTATCCACATCCACCGCCTGGGAAACGACGTCCTGGACATATGGATATATTTTGGCCCCCGGGGGCCCGAATATATCCATACTAGAACCCGCGCGCTTCGCGGGCGCTTAGGTTCTTCTACCCGTGCACAAGGAACGCGCATCGCAAATTGCCTATGTGCCACTGAGGAATGCAGGGGCGATTCGAATGCAAATCGATTGCTCAATAGTTACCACATACCCACAACACATCTCGCGAGCCAACTCATTCATGATGGGTCCATTCCTCTCGCAAGTTTCACGGTCATCTCCATACCCCTTGTTACCAGGCCTCGGCTGTTTCATGTATCAATTCCCGCTCCAGTTTCGAATACCGTCCCCTCTTCGCACACGCTTCACAGGCTCTGAGAACCTGGATGGGTTCCTGGACAATCCGTGCCGCAATGAATAGTGCACGTCTCCCTTCACCTCGTCCTCTTTCTCCTGCTCCTCTTCCTCCTCCTCCTCCTGAGTATCATCCTTCTCCTCCTCTTAGGCACCCCCGTCCCTTCCTTCCCCGTCTGAATATTCCGTTCTCTCCTACGTATCTCTCATGTGGCTCTCCTCTCTTCTTCCTGCTCCCACCTCCGAAGATCCATCTCCCTTTCTTCTTACGCGTCCTCTTAAAATGTTTCTGCTACCTGCCTCACCCCGCTTGCATAATCAGCCTCATTACCGGCCATTGGCAGAGACATGATTTTAACGAAGGTGCACCCCCAGGGCCTTTGGGAGGGGGGCTGCCCTGGACTCGGCCCTCAGGCCCCCTAAGCGAGCCCAGACAAAGAGCTACAACTTGTTGCGGCTAGGTCTGGGTTTTGCCCTGGAGACCGGAGAGGCGAGAACGCCAAAACAACAGAAAATCACACAACATTGCATCACTTGGCCTTCTTGGCGGCCCTCTTGGGGCCTCTTGGGGCTCATTTGGGGCCCTCGATAGCCGTCCTGGAGCGCTCTTGGGCATTCTTGGAAGGCCGGGGCCGTCTTGGGGCGCTCCTGGGGCTCTGTGGTGGCACTCCTGTGGCTCTCTCGGGGCTCTCTTGGGAGCCTTGCGGGCCTCTTTGAGGCCGCTCTTGAGCCGTCATTAGGCTCTCTCGGGCCGTCTTGGGGCCCTCTTGGGAGCCTCCTGGGCCGTCTTGGAGCGACCTTGGGGGCTTCGTGGGCCACCTTGGACGCTCTCGAAACCAAGCAAGCGATGATGCTAAAATTGTACGTTTTCCAAAAGGGAATGCGACGAATTTTGCTTCGTGGGGGTCCTCTTGGGAGCCTCTTGGGCTGTCTTGAGGCCACCTTAAGTTGTCTTCGAGCGCTCTTGGGGCGCTATGGGGTCGTCTTGGAAGCCTCTTAGGCCGTCTGGAGGCGATCGTGGATTCTCTTGGAACGCTCCAGGGGGTGGAACCGCCCCGCAAAGGACCGAAAACAGGCCCCGGGCCCCGGGGGCCAAATTGGGTTACCCAGGGGGTGGCCCCATTTGTCATTGTGTCCCAGGCGCGGCCGGGGGGCCCAACACTCTGATATTAGATATTACTATAATATATATATATATATATATATATATATATATTATATATATATAATTATATATAATATATATATATATATATCCGCCGGCCCCCTTGTGGGGCCACCAGGCTGTAGGCCCGTGATTCGCAGTTTCCTGTACCAGTTGTAGTTTGTAGTTTCCAGTGTTACAGTTCTGCTTCTTGCTGGTTACTGTAACTAGTTGATTGACCGCGCGAGGGGAGGGAGGCCCAAACCAGATTTTTAGCACCCCCTGGGCGCGTTGTCTGAATTGCTGGGGGGGCTCGAAATCGACACCCCTCACGCAGATCCGCGGGGTCAGGGTCCAAAAACACAGGGATTTGCCACATTTCTGAAATTCGGTGCCACCCCTCACGCAGATCCGCGGGGTCAGGGTCCAAAAACACAGGGGATTTGCCACATTTCTGAAATTCGGTGCCACCCCTCACGCAGATCCGCGGGGTCAGGGTCCAAAAACACAGGGGATTTGCCACATTTCTGAAATTCGGTGCCACCCCTCACGCAGATCCGCGGGGTCAGGGTCCAAAAACACAGGGGATTTGCCACATTTCTGAAATTCGGTGCCACCCCTCACGCAGATCCGCGGGGTCAGGGTCCAAAAACACAGGGATTTGCCACATTTCTGAAATTCGGTGCCACCCCTCACGCAGATCCGCGGGGTCAGGGTCCAAAAACACAGGGGATTTGCCACATTTCTGAAATTCGGTGCCACCCCTCACGCAGATCCGCGGGGTCAGGGTCCAAAAACACATGGGATTTGCCACATTTCTGAAATTCGGTGCCACCCCTCACGCAGATCCGCGGGGTCAGGTCCATTTGCCATTTCTGAAATTCGGTGCCACCCCTCACGCAGATCCGCGGGGTCAGGGTCCAAAAACACAGGGATTTGCCACATTTCTGAAATTCGGTGCCACCCCTCACGCACATCCATCGCAAGGCGTGGTAACCCAAACTGCGAGAACTCCCTCGGCCCTTTAATTGCAAGGTGTGGTAACCAAGCCCGTAAACCATACACGTCTTACCAATCGCCAGGTGTGGTAACCCCTCTTGTGATCAGTTGGTTTTGCTGATTGCGAATCGGCTTCACATGAAGTTTCGATACTTCTTCACGACAGCGCCAAGGCCTCATGACTTAGCTCTTCCATGGCCCATTCTCCGAGAGAGGGGGCCGGCGGCAGGGGGCGAAACCCTTACGGATATTTATATATATATATATATATATCCACCGCCTGCGAGGTCCCCGAAAATTGATTCTCCAGGCGGTGGTCATGTATGAATTCCCGCCTCGGAACAAATGCCCGACTTCCTGGGGGCGGTCTTCAGGGCCCCGAGAGCGCCCTGGGAGCGCACCGACGGGGGAGCTGCCAGCGGTCCTTCGAGCGGGGATCCGTAAGCGGCAGGCTCCACCATGGCCTCCATACACTTTGGGAAGGCTTGAACATCCAAGGCCACGCTGACGGCGATGTTGCTAAACGGTGATGTTGGAAACCGAACTGTAGGAAATCACCAACCACACTTTCCTACATTTACGATCTGCAGATGTACCAGACGAAAGCGACACAGCGAATTGTAGGAAAGCACGAGCCGCGCGTTCCCACAATACCGAAACCTACATCGCCGTTACCTGCATCGCCACTAGCGCGTCTACGGAAGTCAGCCTCCAAATTGTCACATGCAGCCCCAAGATGCCCTCAGGAGGCCAAAACTCGCTGATTGTGACTCAGTGTTTGCAGAATTTGTGCGTCACAGCATTTTGATCTTCCCACCGCCCAAGACGACCCATTCAGCCCCCCAACTTGCCACACTTCAGGCCAATAGACCCCCAGGACGGCCCCAAGACGGTCCCAAAGGCCTCCCCCGAAACCTCCAAACCGCCCAAAAGGGTCCGAAGAGGGGAAGCCCAGTTTGAAATTACGAACCCGTTTTCAACAGATGGGCCCCCGCACCGCCAGAAAGCCCGCAACAGGGACCCAAGAGACCTCCAAGAGGCCCCCCACCCAAGAGGTCTCTAGAGGCCCCCAAGACGCCTCCAGAGGCCCCACGAGGCGCCAAACATGCCCCCGCGAGCACACAGGCAAGTGCCAGCGATGCTACAATGAGCCCCCAAGAGGCTCCCAAGACGGCCCGACCAAGAGGACACAAGAGGGCGGACACGAACAGCGATGTCGAACCTTCTGCCCCGAGACGCCCATGACTGCTCACGCACCGCTTCAACGAAACTACCACCACCCACCAGCGCCGCAGAGACGACGACCACGCGGGCAAAGTCCCGCGGTGGAATATCCCGGGCTGGCGGAATGAGCAAAGTGATTCAACGATATGTGGCAGGGACGAGCAGGCGGGAAGAGGATGAGGGTGAGGAGGAGGAAGAAGCGAAGAGGGTGGATGGAGGAGGGAGGAGGCGGACAGAAGCGGCGGGAGGAGGGAGGAGGACGAAGGGGGCAGGAGGGAGGAGGGAGGACAACGAAGGCAGAAGGAGGAGGTATGAGAGAGGAGAGAGGACGGCGGAAAGTTGAGGGAGGAGTAGGGACGAGGGAGGACTGAGGACGGAGGAGAAGGGAGCATGGATGAGGGAGGGGGACGAAGAGACGGGAGGACGGAAAAGGGGGCAAGATGAGGGAGGAGGGATCGAGGGAAGAGGGAGGCAGATGAGGAGGAGGAGGAGGAGAACGAGGAGTGCCTTGTACACCTCCAGCGCCTTCTCTGGCTGCTTGCTCTTGGCCCAGCAGCTCATCAGCGCCGTGTATACTTTGACGTCGGGTGAGGGCCCGGACTCCTCCGGGAGCGGAACAGTTGCACACTCCCCCGTAGGAGGGTGAGGTGAAGGAACCAGGGCAGCAGCGGGAGGAGGGGAGAGAAGAGGGGAGGAGGGAGAGAAGAGAACAGGCGATAAAGAACACAATTGCACACTCCCCCGTAGGAGGGTGAGACGAAGGAACCAGGACAGCAGCGGGAGGAGGGGAGAGAAGAGGGGAGGAGGGAGAGAAGCGAGGAGGTGATGAAGGACCAGGGAAGGGGGATTTCGGAGGGAGGAGCCAAGTTTCTGGGGTTCGCGCTCCCTGGTCCTCCATCTCCCTGAAGAGCTCGGACGCGCGCTCTGGCCACATGCGCTTCTCGCACGCGCTGATGAGACAATTGTAGGTGATCGCGTCCGGCACGATGCCCTCCTTCAAAAGGGTGGGGATCTTTACTTCCCCAAACAAGGCTTCCACTGCAGGGGTCCTCGCGGATATCGTAGGTCGGGCCTGCCCCCCTACAGGGGGATTTTGGACGAAAATTAATTATCCCAGTGCGACCCTACCTAGGAGTTGGAGCCCCTAGGAAAGCAGCATTAGTAGTAAGAGTAAAGCTAAGCTAAAGCTAAGCTAAAGCTAAGCTCAAGCTAAGCTCAAGCTAAGCTAAAGCTAAGCTAAAGCTAAGCTAAAGCTAAGCTAAAGCTAAGCTAAAGCTTAGCTAAAGCTTAGCTAAAGCTTAGCCAAAGCTTACCTAAAACGGAGCTAAAGCTAAGCTAGAGCTAATCTAGAGCTAAGCTAAAGCTAAGCTCAAGCTAAGCTAAAGCTAAGCAAACGCTAAGCTAGAGCTAAGCTATAGCTAAGCTAAAACTGAGCTAAAGCTAAGCTAAAGCTAAGCTAAAGCTAAGCTAAAGCTAAAGCTAAGCTAAAGCTAAGCTAAAGCTAAGCTTGACATAAGATAAAGTTGAGCTAAAGCTAAACTAAAGCTCAGCTAAAGCTGAGCTAAAGCTAAGCTAAAGCTAAGCTGAAGCTAAGCTAAAGCTTAGCTAAAGCTTAGCTAAAGCTAAGCTAAAGCTAAGCTGACGTTAAGCTAGAGCTAAGCTAAAGCTAAGCTAAAGCTAAGCTAAAGCTCAGTTAAAGCTAAGCTAGAGCTAAGCTAAAGCTAAAGCTAAAGCTGAAGCTCCCAGGGGACTGGGGGAACCGCGGGGCGGGGACTGGGGGAACCGCCCGGGGCGCTGTGCACTGCCCGGCCCCTTTAAGCTAAGAGAGTAAGAACCCTCTAGGCAGAGCCTAGGTAGGGAAACATGGACAACACATACACCAAAAATGCAAACAAGAAAATCAAAAAATCGTCCCCAGACTATTTTTCACTATTTTTGCATGTTCCTCCTGTAGAGGGACACGCCCGACTTAAAGCAAGGCTTCCATTGGAGGGGTCCTCGCGGATATCGCACGCCCGTGGCGAGCGGCGAGGGCAGCCGATGCCGGTGGTCGGGTCCCTCGGGCTGCCCAGTGCCTCGATGCCTGGGCTCCTGGCTTCGCGGCCTCCCGGGGTCCATCTGGTGCAGTTTTTCATCCCGAACCCGTTTTCGACTGGCGGTCCCGGGGCCCGAAAACGGCCCTCGGAGGTTGAAAAAGGCCAATCAAAGGCAGCAGCGTGGAATGGGGATTCCCCGCTGCAATGTCCCGTCGGAGAGCCGCGTCCTCGTCCTCACCTTCCTCGCCCTCGTCCTCCTCATCGGCCTCCCCCTCCTCCTTCGCAACCTCCTTGCCCTCCATACTCCTATCGAGTCATCGGGTCCCCTCCTCCATCTGCGCATGCTCTTACAACCCCCTGGAACACGACCACCGCCGCATCCCCCTCCTCATCGTCGTCGTCGTCCTCCTCCTCCTCCTGGCCATCCTGCCGATCCTCCTCTTCCCGCTCTCTCTCGTCCTCCTCTTCCTCTCCCTCCTCCTCCCCCTCCTTCTCCTCCTCCTCCTCCTCCTCTTCCTCGTGATCCTCCCTCCCTCCCTCCTTCCTCCCTCCTCCCCTCCCTGCCTCCTCCATCCCTCCCTCCTCCCTCCTTCCTCTCTCCCTCCTCCCTCCCTCCTCCCTCCCCGCTCCCTCCTCCATCCCATCCTCCTTCCTCCTAAGATCCTCTGCAGGAGGACCGCAGGTGAGCGGACACCGAAAAGAGAATGTGCACGGTGACCCACGGTGAGATGTGTCGCATGGTTGCGGTTGCGGTTGCGGGCGGGTTGAAATGTGTCGCCCCGTTGCGATTGCGGTTGCGCGGGCGGGTTGAATTGTGCCGCCCGGTTGCGATTGCGGTTGCGCGGCTGGGTTGAAATGTGTCGCCCAGTTGCGGTTGCGGTTGCGCGGGCGGGTTGACATGTGTCGTCCGGTTGCAATTCTGGTTGCGGTTGCGCGGGCGGGCTGAATTATGCCGCCTGGTTGCGGTTGCGGTTGCGCGGGCGGGTTGAATTGTGTCTCCTGGTTGCGGTTGCGGTTGCGCGAGCGGGTTGAAATGTGTCGCCCGGTTGCGGTTGCGGTTGCGCGGGCGAGTTGAATTGTGTCGCCCAGTTGCGGTTGTGCTTGCGGTTGCGCGGGCGGGTTGAAATCTGTCGCCCCGTTGCGGTTGAGGTTGCGGTTGCGCGGGCGCGTTGAAATGTATCGCCCGGTTGCGGTTGCGCGCTGCCGGGTGGTTTGGCACGTGTTGACAGAAAAGCTCTCCTGACGTTCAGTCAGTCAGTCAGTCAGTCAGTCAGTCAGTCAGTCAGTCAGTCAGTCAGTCAGTCAATCAGTCACACCGGCGGGCACAGATATTTCATCCAGCTCCGCCAAGAAACCAAATTTCAGAATCAAGCCTCGCCCCCTTTGCTGCTTGCCGGAACCAGTGCTGGGATACCCCCAGCTTGTTCCAAAGACTGTGGACGTCGTCGGCGCTCTGAGGGGCGACAGCGGCCGAGAACGAGGAGGCTGTCTGGCGCATCTTCGGCATGGAGGAGTTGGCTGCACGCAAGAGTGGCCCCAGGCAAGAGTGACCTTCGGTGCGCGACGTTCGGATGGCCCGGGGGGGCAGAACCCGAGCGCGCCAGCCGCTGCTATCGCACCGTGTTCAGCCACCCGTGGGCCCCCGTGCACCCGCCCCACAGCTCGCTCTGGCGAAAGGTCACTCTTGCGCGTAGTTGAAGGCAGCGGGTCCATGCACGGAGATGGGTTCCAGGCACTATGTCTTGGCCGCCGCCCTCGAGCCCCTGTGGCCCAGGCCCCTGGGGCTCTGTGTGGCTTGACGACGACGACGGCGGCGGCGGCGGCGGCAAAGCCTCCTCCTCCTCCGACGACGAGGACAACGACGACGACGACGACGACGACAACGACGACGACGGCCGCGACGACGACGACGACAACGACGACGGCCGCGACGAGGACGACCACGACGACGACGATGACGACAGTCCTACTCCCAAATGGAACGCTCAAGAGGAACGGAGCCCCCTTTGGTCGACCAGAGCGCCTGGGCGCACGAGCAACGATATAGGGACAAGCACGGAAGGACCGAACCCGAACTGATCCTTACTTATGTCAGCTTCTAGACTGAAGATCCGCTTCCTTCAGGAGCCCTTTTTGGGAACCGCGCACATCTATTCGAAGGTGTGCGGGCCCTCGTCCGAAACTCCATACTCATAGTCTGCTAGAAGTCTCACGCTCGCAGACCCATCCCAAAGACTGCACCATACTGTGCACGGTGCATGTTGCGAACACGGTTCCATGGTCACGTTCCTGTCCCCGACCTCTCCTTCACGGCAACATCTGGGACACAGATTCTGGCCCGAAACATTCGCGTCCCCCACCTGCGACGCCGACTCCGGCTCACCCGGCGACCGTGGAGCTTGACCGAAGACAGCCGGCATCGCCCTCACGCTGATGCTCGACTTGACTCGGTGGGGGTGGCAGGGAGTTGCATCCTCCGGCTCCTGCTTCATCTTCCTGAACATGTCGAGCGCCATGCCGATGCGCTTGACGTTGCCGCAGGCGCCGATCATGACGTTGTAGACGAAGCGGTTTGGGGCCAGCTGTTTGTCCTGAGGCAGCTACTCCCACCTCCTCCTCCTCCTCCTCATCCTCCTCTTCCTCTTCCTCCTACCGTATCCCGCATTCCTTCTCTCTCCTCGTCGTCATTCCTCGCTTTGTGCTCCTCTCTCATGCGCCTCCCTCCTCCCTCCCTCATCCATCATCTCTCATTCTTCTCCTGTTCCATCCTCCTCCAGCCCTCCTCGCGCTTCCTCCTCCCTTCTCCGTCGACATGCATCATCCCTTCCTCCTCCGTCCTCCTCTCAGTCGCCTCGCTCATCCTTCCTCCCTCCTGCTTCGTCCTCCCTCCTTACTCCTCCTCCCGCCTCCAGACGAACGCGGATCATGATCATGCCGACGTTGAGCCAGCGAGCCGCCTTCCTCCTACGCCTCACCCCCCGTCGTTTCCTCAAGCTCTTGGAAAAGCTCTGCCGCCTTGTTGCCCCACTTGCACTTGCCGCAGGCGCTGATGAGCAACCCGAACGTGCTCACGTCCGGCTCCACGGCCCTCCCGGACAGCAGAAAGAAACAGCGTGCACCTCCCCCCAGTCCTCGTCTTCTCTGACCAACTCCTCTTCATCCTCCTCATCCTCCTCCTCATCAACCTCCTCTCCTCGCATCTATCCCCCACCCCTTCCGCCTCCTCACACTCTCACTCACGCTCGACCTACTCCTGAGGCTGGCCCTGATACAGGCCAAGTGTCCATACGAACAAAATATGATCCATGATAAATAAGGCCCCCCACAGGTACGACGATGGTCCTAGAACTTCGAGGAAGCCTTGTATCGATGAGGAGAAGGATTGTGGCGCGCAAGTTGCTAGCTGGCGCTCGCCGCGCATGAGGCTCCACTCTGGCTGGTTGGGATACCGACAAGGCGCAGCTTGGGTGGTGGGCTATCACTGGGGATGTGGACAAAACAAGACATGCCCGCGCCTCAACGAGAGCGCAGCTGCCATGAAAACGCTGCGTGGCGCTGGCGCGCATCTCCAAACGAGGCCTGCACGGCGGTGGGGCGCCAGCAGCTTTCAGCCTTCTCGTGCGAGGATCTGAAACCCAGAAAGGCCTGGCAACGCAGAGCGGTGACGGAAGAGGCTCACCCGTGCCCTCTGGCCGGAGGCTCGGACCACGCTGGCCAGCACACGGCGCCGAGGGGGCCGAAAACTCGGACACGCCAGCCAACACGCACTTCGACAGTTGGGCGCCCGCGGGCGCGCGCCGGCCGAACAGGGCGGCGACGAGCTCGGCGCCCACGGGCGCCCACAGACCGACACAAAACAGTACACGCCAGCCAACGTTGCTTACCGGCAAAGGTAATAACCCCCATGGCTGGTGCCAGCACTGCTCGGGGAAGCGAACAAGACACCTACGCCGCTCCGTTTCCAGCTACGTTCCCCTGTGACCGCCATTCTGCATGCAGCGGCGTCGTGCCCTCCTCCCAAGCATCCGATGCCTTGACTCTTGCGCCACGGAAGCCCCCCAAAGCACCAAACCCTGTCCCCGGAGCTGACCCGGCATCCCCAGTCGCTTGCAGATGGGGTGCTGCCAGAGATCGCCGCGGCCCTGGGAGGCCCCAGCTTCCCCAGGCAGGCACGGATGGCCTTCAGAGCACTCCTCACGATGCCCACGCGGCCCAAGAGGCGCACAGTGACTGGCCACATAAGTTGGGGACACGTTGGGCGCCAGGGTTAGATCGGGCCTGTCCCCCTACAGGAGGATTTTGGACGAAAAATAAAAAAGAGTCAAACAAGATTCAACAATGATGGGAAAATAATCCAAAAATCGTCCCCAGACTATTTTTTGACTATTTGTGAGCATTCCTCCTGTAGAGGAGCACGCCCGTCTTGACCCCAGGACCACTTCAAGCAACACCCGATCTCACGATCCCTGAGCCCGAACCTGGCACGCAGAGGCCGCAATCCACGAATGACCAAGGGCGTTGGGGTGCAAGATGTTGGCAGTCTAGGTTCGCCCCTCCCTCCCGCCGGGGGTGGGGCGAGGCGAACTTTTGCCACAAGCCCGCCTCGACTTCATGGAGTCGAACACCGCTAGCGCCCGCTCGATCTGCCTGAGCTGCTCGCATGCGGACAAGGCCCAGTTGCACACGATGCGGTCCTTTGCTCTGCTTTGGCGGCAACATACTTCCGTCCAAGGCATCGGAATATTGTCCCAAACTCACAACCGGACTAAGCATGCAGATGCGACAACCTGTCCGCCTAGGCGCTCACAACTGTAAAACACTCAACGCAACTTGCGTCCCAAACGCATCCACCGCGGGAAGGGGGGCGAGAAACAAATCGAACTCCATCGACGCCCAAAAAGAAGAGCACTGGAGGCGCAAACAATTCAAACATAAACCGTCGGAGGTCCCCACGGGTTTCGTGGGGCGGTGCTGGAGGCGCCGCCAGGAGGGGTCAAGCGCCGACCCAGGAAATCGGAGCGGGCCTCCAACGGTTAATGCTTATCCCGGACCCCCCTTCGAATCCCAACCGTCTCGTTTTCGTGTTTTCGGCATCCTGCCCTGGCTTCGGGACCTGGAGGAGGAGGAGGAGGAGGAGGAGGAGGAGGAGGAGGAGGAGGAGGAGGAGGAGGAGGAGGAGGAGGAGGAGGAGGGAGGAGGGAGGAGGAGGAGGAGGAGGAGGAGTAGGAGGAGGAGGGAGGAGGGAGGAGGGAGGACTGGCCGCGGGGACGGGGCCGCGGAGTGCTCCGGGGGCCCACGCCGTTGACACACAGACAGAACAGGACGTCGGAGGCGTCAGATCTGCACCGCGAGGGCCCCTGTGACACAGCTCACGGGCTGCAGCCCAGACAAACCATCCGGGCCGGGACTCGTATGAATACGTCGATGTAAACTGATATACGAACATACATACAGAGAGCAGGAGGGAGAGAGAGAGAGAGAGAGAGAATATATACAGAGAGGCATATCAAGAAACGACAACAACAACAGCAGCAGCAACAACAACAGCACACAGCAAAAGAAACGACATAGATCCACCGCCAAGGAACCGATCTTCCGGAATCGAGCTTCGCTTCGACGATGGAAATCTCGTTGGACGCGGCTGGCCCTCTTCAGGCCCCCCGTGTGTCCTCGAGGCCACGGTCGGATCCGCCTGTAAAAATGAGGCCCGGAAAAGAGATATGTCCAAGGGCATCTGTTTGCGAGGCGGGGCGCTATACATACACACCGCCTGGGGATCCGATGTCCCAGGACCCCTACGGGGCGGTGGATGTCTGCATTTCAGCCCAGGGCGGCGAGCATATGCGTACATGCGTATGTATCGGAGGTCGGCAGGGGGAAGATCGCAGTGGAATGGAGAGCCCCCCGCCGGGAGATCGGTTTCGGATTCGTGTCCGTGTCGTGCGTGCGGGCAAAGCGAAGCTGCGTGGGCGAGCGAAGGAGATTGACCCCGCCGGGGGATAGGGCGATTGGGACGCAGTGGACCGCCTCTCCGCCCCCGGTGGGCGCGCAGTGGCATGGGGTGTCCCGCCGTGGTATTCTGTGGATCCCGCTGGTGCCCCGTTGGTGTCCCGTCGGTTTCCCGTCGGCGGTGGGCGGGGCGGCGGTTGGAGGTGTACTGGATTGTTATCGATCGTGACGTCGGTAGTAAGATCGGTGATGGGATCGCTAGATTGGGACGCGTGGTGAGATCCAAAGTGAGATCGATAGTGGGATTGATTGTGACATTGGTTGCGAGATCGCCGGTGAGCTCGATCTGAGATCGATAGAGAAGTCGATAACGGGATGGAAGGTGAGATCGAAGAGGGGATCGATAGTGAGAACCAGGAGCGACATCACATCGCAACGCAAGGTCGTCATCACGCGTCGTCGCTAACTCGAGGGTACGTGACCAGCATCGTCATCATCACAACTATCGCACCCATCGGTGTCTCGTCGGTGTCCCGTTTGGTGTCCCGTCCGTGTCCCGATTGGTGTCCCGATTGGCGTCCTGATTGTGTCCTGGTGGTGCTTCGGTGGTGTCTCGGAGGTGCCCTGGTAGTGTCCCAATGGGTGCCCCGAGTGGTGTCCTGATGGCGCCCTGATGGTGTCGTGATGGTGTCCCGTCGAGGGCGCATCAGCAACCTCGTCATCATCAACCATCGTAAATACCATCGTTGGTTCTTCCCTCCAAAAAAAACAAACCTCCTTATCACCCGGAGGGCGGCTGTGTAGGTGTAAGGACGTAAGAGCCAAAGACTGCACGTACACGTATACATGTAATGTTCATACCCACATCCATCGCTGACTCTACTCGACGCTATCCTACTCCACACTTCTTGCCTCACAATACACGGCGACACGGCGATCGCAACCGGCAAGGGGGCCTCAAGCGCCGCCGTCTGCGACGAGCGCCTCCCGCGCGGCGTCCCGTCCGCTGCGCCGCCCCCCAGGCAGCGGCGGCACCCGACTCCACTCCAGTCTACTCGCAGGCGCTCGTCTCGTGGCCCCGTCGCTCGTCGTCGGAGCTGCTGCGGGACGGCGGAGGCCCAGAGGGGCTGGAGCGCCGTCGCTCGCCGCCCCCGCTCCGGTGGTGGCAGCCGTCCAGGGCGCACTGCCTGCTGGAGCGCCGCGACGCACCGCCGCAGCCGTGGCGAGGTCCGCAGTCCTGGCCACGCCGCCCATGCTGGCCGAGGCCCCCTCGCCCCTGGCTGCTGGTGGTGCCCGGGCCGCTCCTCTACGCGCCGCGGCGTGCGCCCCGCGGCGGGGGCCGCGCGGCCTCGGCGCGCCGCCGCGTGCGCCGTGCAGGCCAGGGCGTGCCGCTGGCTCCGGCAGCGGTCGCTGCCCTGGCCCTTAGGCGTCGAGCCCGACGGCCTGGTCGGCGATGCCTTCGCCGAGGTAGCGCCCGCGGCGGCCGGAGCAGACGGCGAGGGCCCCCTGCGGAGCAGGTGCGAGCGGCCGCGAGGGAGGGCGGCGGCGAGTGCCCCACGAGGCGCGGTGCCCGACGCGCTGCCGGGGGGTCAGTGGTGCCCCGCGCGAGGGCTCCGAGCACGCGGCCGCCTGGCGCCAGCTCGGGGAGGGGCTGCCCCAAGCTTTTTTGGTCGGCGGGGCGAGAGCGAGCCTCCTCCGCTAAAAGCTAGGCGGGCTACGCACAGCTTTGATTAGGGAGACAGGGCACGGGCAGGCGGGGCCTCAGGCGGCCGGAGTGGGCGGGGCCCGGGGGTGCAGGCGGTGCCGAATAGCTTGATGGGGGCTGTCCCAGACATGCGACGTCCTGATTTTTTCAGGACGGCGTCCCTGGAAGTCCCGACTCTTTCCCCAGGACCGGTTTTTCGTCCTGAATCGCTTTTGGACGGTCCCGAGGCCCGGCGAGGGCCCCCCAGGGCCGAAAATAGCCCAAAAAACCTCCCGTCATGATTGTTACGACGCGATCATGTCTGGGGTCCGAGCTGGGGCCCAGGGTCGCTTCCAGTCTCGCCGTGCGCGAGGCCTTTGGCACACGGAAGGCGGCGTCAGCGGGGGCGCGCTTGGGAGGCGCGGTCGGGCTACGGCCCCTCCCTCCCTCGCGCCAGGCCTCCCCGGGCCCCAGGCGCAGCGGTCGGCAGCGTGAAGGTCCGAGGAGGAGCCCGCCTTCGGGGTCCTTTGCTTCGCGGAGGGCCTCCCCTTGGTCGTAAGCCTCCTCCGCGTGAAGAAGGTTCTCGAGAATTGGCGCGTGCTCGGCTCGCTGTCGCACCCCCCTCGCCCTAGCCTAGGGCTGGAGCGTGGAGGGACTGCAGACGGTTTGGCCGCAAGCGTGTCGGACCCCTCTCGTGGGACTGTCCGTAACCCGTCGGTGCTCCACTCTGCTCTACTCTACTCTACTGTACCCTTACGCAACTCTACTCTACTCTACTCTTCTCTTCTCTACTCTACTCGGCCATACTCTACTCCACTCTACGTTACTCTACTCTACTATGTTTCCCGGCTCGAGTCTGCCATCTGCCCTGCTCTACTCTGCTTTTCTCTACCCTACAGTACCCTACTCTACCGTAATCGATTCCCAGTCCACTCTACTCTACTGTACCCTACTCCACGAATCCCAACTCTTACTTGAGTCTAGCCTTATACAAGTCAAATTTACTCATACCTTAGTCGGCTCTCGTCTACTCGATCCTACTCTAGCAACCAATCCATGCGGGTACCAGGGGAAGCCACGCGGATAGTTCGGACGAAGCCATGCGAATAGCAGAGGAAGCCATGCCGATAGTTTGACGAATCCAAACCTACTCTAGCTGACACCTACTCGACACGAGTCTCTACTACTATTATACTCTACTCCTACTCCACCATATTCTAATTGAGTCTCCTCTACTCGACTCTTCTCTGGCCGACAAAGCCATACGGATGGCCTCTACCCCGAATATACTCTACTCTACCCCTACTCTGCCTGACCCTACTGCTACTTTAACATGCTCTCCACGACTCTCCTCTACTCCCGAAGACGAAGCCACGCGGATGGCAGAGGAAGCCATGCGAATAGGTTGGACGACGCCGTGCGGAAAGCAGAGGAAACCATACGGATAGCTTGACGAACACTATCATGATCTACTCTGCTCTGCTCCAACTCTACTCTATTCTGGCTCCACTCTTCTCTACTTGTGGGTACCCTTTTAGGCTTCACTCTAACAGACGAAGAAATGCAGATAGCAGAAAAAAAGCCACGCGAAGAGTTTGGACGAAGCCTTGCAGATGGCAGAGGAAGACATGCTGGTACTCGGGCGAAGGTGGGGGTAACATAGAGGAGGGGGCAACAGTGAATTGGTTCTGTATGGATTGAGCTTAGGCTCCTATAGGCAATCCTATTCCGAAAACTAACCAGGATGAACAATCAAGGTCGGGTACCCCCGGGGACCCAGAGTTTTAAACCATCAGGATCTAGGACGTCGGGGGAGGCGCGAGAATGGCGACGAATCGGGGGACTCGGCTCCCTCCGGGGCCCCTAACCGCAACGAAACTGGCAAGCTCCCCTAACATGAAAGAGCACATACGCGTGTGACTATACCTACATGTGCACCGTCCATGGCCTCGCGTGCTCGAATCACCGTACTCAAGCGCAGGCCAGCGGAGGCCGACAGCGTACGTGGACAAATGCTGACGGCCCCGGAGAAAACGCAGAACACAGTCTCCCCAAACGTCCAGCTCAGTGGACATCGACCAGTGTTTTGGGCCAGCGCCCAGTGCACACCCACGCTGGCAGACTCCCATGAGAAACCACAGCAGAAAACGAAACCATGCACTAAGAAGATCCATTGCTTCTCCCCCCGCCAGGAAGAAAATGAAGGCGGCATACAAATCCCGATGCAACAAAGCTTCCTGCGAAAAACACGCATTCATCCTCAAGCAATGCCCTCTCTCCTTCATCATCCTGCTTGCCCTGTTGGGAAAGGAAGCCTTTCTCCTCTGGAGACCTACGGGTACATGGGGCTGGGCTGGAGGATCACGTTGCATCGCAAATGCATCGGTGACGTCGGCGATGTATCGGCGCTATCGGCATGGAAAACATCGAGCTGCACATCGAGCAGCATCGACGATGCATCCACGATGCGGCGGGATCCTCCGACCCCATCCAATCGGACCGCACTCATCCTCGTCCTCCGCCCGAGCTGTAGTCAATCAGATCTCCCCAGTATCAAACATCCACAGAACTGCATGAGCATGTACAGTGGGGGCCCGACCAAAAGAAACCTGCCACAAGAGACCTCACCCTGAGACCCATCGATGTGTGGTGTGGGAGCGTCACGACTTCGATGGCAAAACCATGGAAGCCCAAGAAACCCAGGGCACCCTGGAGGCAAGCAGGGTGTTCCCTGGCATGAGCCTCCACTGTAATGTCAGAGGTTTGCGCAGAGTTCTGTGGTCCGCGCACTCCACGCCCCTTCCGACGTGCGGGGCGTACTCTAGAGGCGGCGCCCTCTGGCGCCGCACAGGGAGGCACGGGGAGGGGACGCAGCACCGACCCCAGAAACCCGCGCAGACCTGCGAGAGGTTCTGATCGTGAAAATGTGTGTGTGTGTGTGTGTGTTCTGTTCCCTCCCTTGGGAGGCCCAATATGTACACCACCACCACCACCACCTCCCTCACCCCCTCCCTCTTCCAGGAAAGAGGATGAGGATGAGGAAGAGGAAGGCAGAGGAGGGAGGAGGCATCGACGTGGTGGTGGTGTCTATTCTTGGGGCCCCCAATCCCTCCCCGGACCTCTGACGTTGTGGTCTCTTTAACGTGGACCCCTGGATGTCTCCGCCAGCCCCCGAGTCGTTTGTAGCACTGAGAGCTGATCACTCCGGATAAGTATTGTCCCAGGGCCCGCTTCTAATCCCGAGCGCCGTTCTGCTAACGTCCCCGGCGCCAGCAACTGCCCCCCCCCCTTGAACGACGGTGAGCAGAACAACAAAACCCAGCTCCGCTGCTGATTGCACAGACGAGGGGCGAGGAGGAGGAGGCGCAGGAGGAGGAGGAGAATATGTCCTCCTCCTCCTCCTCATCGTCCTTCTCCTCCGCTGCCGATTTCACAGAACGCGGTTTGGGACGCCCGAAAGGGGTGCATACCATGCTGGCACGCTGCCCGACACCACGTGCTGCCCCAAACCAGCAGCGGCCTCGAAGGGACCATGCCCGCGGCGACACCGACAGCCAGCCCTGGTCAAAGTTGAGCGCGAAGACGTGCCAGTATTGTGGATGCCATGACAATGGACACTCAACAATCCGATCATTGAGATAAAGATGTGCTAACATGTTTGCTTACCCAAAACATGTTTCACATGTTCAAGACATGCTCGAAACATGATTCAGACATCTGGAACTTATTTGGCAACACTTGTTTGATCCGCGGGTCGAGAGCGCACCTCTTCCGGTCGAAGCTAAGCGGGCCGCGCGAAGCTTGACTTAGGCAGAGAAGAGGAGGGAGGAAGCGGCGGAGCCTCAGAGAGAGGCCGAGAGAAGGCATAGCCTCGGATACAGACTTATTTGGCAACGCGCCTCCTCTCCAACGATCGACTTCTACAATGCCGGCCTGCGTGCCCTCCCGTGCCCTCTCTGTGGCTCGAGCCACGTCAGCTCGAGCCACCGGGCCCGAGCGGCGGGATCGCAGGGAACGCCCGCGCCCGCACGGGGGCCCCCGCGCGGCGCGGGCCCGGCGCTCGCATGGCTCCCGCGTGGCACTGGCGCGCCTCTGCCGTCTGTCGTCCGTCGCCCGTCCTCCTTGTCGTCGTGCCGTCTGTCGCCGCTTCGCCTGTCACCCGTCGTCGCTCCGTCCGTCGTCGCTCCGTCGTCGTGTCGTGCCGTCTCTCTGCGCGCTGCCACTGGGCTCCCCTTCGCCAGTAGGAAACAAGTGTGTCGGCCTCCGCGCCCCTGCCTTCGGTACCCCTCTCGGCCGTGCCGAGAGGAAGAAGGCTGGATCTCTTCACCTCTGCCGCCAGCGCGGCGGACCCCCCCCACTCCGGGCGCGGGCCAGGGCGCGCACCTATCCCGGCACTCCGACCGTTCCGAGGGGAGGCCTGGATTCCTCCTCGGCTGCACTCAAGAGGTGACCCTGTGCAGTAGTCGGGGAGACGAGAGGCTCGGGTGGAGGGGGCTCGGGTTGGCCCGACGGGGCTATCATGAAAATGACGCGACCCAGTCTGAAATTGCGGGCCCCCGCTGCAGACGTTCCACGAAAACTAGACCGTCAGAAGTCATGATGTGCTCGTCAAACGTCATCAGCGTGGGCATCCTCGGGTCTTACGTGCCACCGACAGAGTGATCTTTGGTGCGCGGCTTACTTGGCAGCGCGGGATGGCCAAATTCCAGTGCGCAAGCAGCCGCTATCGCATCGCGCTAGACCATCGGGGGGGGGCGTTGAGCCCGCACCGAGGGTCACTCCGGCGAAAGGTCACTCTTACGTCTAGTTGCCGCCCGCGCTGCTGATCCCCCTCCCTGGGCGAAGGTCCAGTGCGCATCCCGCCTCGCACATGGCGTCGAACACCTGCAAGGCTTCCTCTGGCCGCCGTGCGCGCTCACACAGCTTCATCACCGTGGCGTCCGCCAGCCCCCCGCCCGCTCGAGAGTTGACCCTGGCGCGCGGTGCGCATGCGAGTTCTTCGACGAGCGACAGAACACCCTTCAAAACGCCAATTGGGCGACGATCAAAAGCGGGTCGCATGCGAGACGGCATGGCGACCTTAGGCGGTTGCGTACGCGGGCCGCCAGCTTTGCACGCTACATTGGAAACGAGGGCACTTACGCACGATCTCACGCGGGCAGCTTATGCGCCAATGTCGGCGCAGACGACCCTGTTTTTTGGCGTCGCTCATGTGAATTGTCCCACGATCGATAGAACGCCCTTTATATGAGAACGCCAATTCGTGAAAGCTGCCAGGGGAACTCCACGTGCGCAAGGTACCCCATTCCGAATGGACCTCAGCGGGACAGCAATCGACGTCCAAAAACAAGCGGATTGATCTGGCCAGCCCAAGAAATACATCCGCGGCGCGAGCCTCCGAAAGTTGAAATTCATCAGAGTGAGGGGGTCGAACTGTCATTCGCTGTCCCTTGGACATTGGCTGAAGTGGGGTTGCGCAGTGTGGATTGTTGTCGTTGCTGCTGCTCTTGTTGATGTTGTTGCGTTGTTGTCGTGGTCCTCGGCCGCGACCCGCCAACGACCCACCCCGCGACCACCTAGTCGACGCCTGCGGCGGGCTTGTTGTGCAATGTGTAAAAAATGAGCGCCTGCGGGGAGCTTTCCCAGAGCTTCGCACACTGCCGACGACTCAACCGCCCCTCATTCTTATCCGCAATTGCGGGGGGCTATGTGACCGCGAAGGGTCTTTAGAATCCCCCCCGATAGGGGGTGACCAAGGATTTTTCGGCGCCGTTATTGAAGGACTGGGGCCCCACCAATAGGGGGTAACTCACATTGTTTTCCGCGGCACCCGTCGCGCAACAACGACGACGACGACAGCTACGACTACGATTGCGACTGCGACTACGACGACTCTACTACTACTTATTCCTCAGGAGGACGAGGAGGAGGAGGAGGAGCAGGAGCAGGAGGAGGAGGAGGAGGAGGAGCAGGAGAAGGATAAGGGGGAGAGGGGGGAGGAGGAGGAAGAGGAGGAGGAGCAGGAGGAGGTTTTAGGACCGGTCGTATTCCCCGCCGAGGGAAAAAGGGGGGAGCTAACACAAAAGACCCTTCGCGCTCAACAGTGCCTGCTCCTCGATTCCCGCGGCTGCGCCCCGCCGGAAGCGGTCCGCGGGTGCCCGGATCGTCCCGAGCGGCCGCTGGGAGCCAAGGGTAGCCTGGCCCGAAAAGGAAAGCGGGCGCTGCGCGCAGAGAGGCCCGGGCCTCTCCCCCCCTTCAGTCGGGCCCCGTCGCCCCGGGAGGCCTCTCGTCTTGCCGTGTCTCGGCCTCCCGGGGCCCGCACCCGGCCCGGGGGACGGGCGAGGAGAAGGGCGGGGGGGGAACGCCTGCCGGGGGGAGGAGAGGCCGGGGCGCCCGGACCTTCCCGAGGGCGAGGGGAGTGCGAGCAGTGGCCCTCCAGGCCTACGGGTTGATCTGGATCGCCTGCAAACCTCGACAGGGATGCAAACGTCGAGGCCCTGGTGCTAGTCTTCAGCCCTCCTGGAAGGTCAGCCCAGACACGCGACGCCCTCCGCCCGCCAAGCCGCCAAGCATTCGAGGTGCCCTCCCCCAGGATGCGCAAGAACATCCAAAAAGCACCAGGAACATCAGGGTACCCTCGCCGAACCGACCTCGATCGTATACCTCCCCAGACATGCGACGCCCTGATTTGTTCAGGACGGCGTCCCCAGAAGTCCCGACACTTTCCGCGGGACGGGTTTTCCGTCCTGACTCGTTCCTTGACGGTCGCGAGGCCCGGCGAGGGCCCCCCTGGGGCCGAACATGGGCAGAAATCTCCCGTCCTGCGTTTTTTAAACGACGCGATCATGTCTGAGAGGACGTCAGGGCACCGCGCGCGTGGGCTCACGAGGCCCTGCGGCGGCCGTGCCTGCCCCGGTGCTGCCTCCCTGCCTGCATCCCCTGTGCGTGCGCCCTCGCTCCCCGGCGCCCCTTCCCCCTGCACGGCCCCTGCCGCCGTCGCGCAAGCCATGCACGGCTGCTTCCCAGCCGCGATCGCGTGGTTCAAGAATCAGGACGCGACGTTTTCGGCTCTTTTCGGGCCCAAAGGGGCCTACGCCGGGCCTCGGGACCGTCAACAAAAAGACTCAGCACGAAAAACCGGTCCCGGGGAACGGGTCCGGACTTTCAGGGACGCCGTCCCGAAAAAATCAAGACGTCGCATGTCTGCGCTGTGCTCCCACGTGCCAGGGATCCAGAATCCCGCTCAGTGGGACTACTTACCAGACCATACCACTAGCCCGAAAAGACCCATGCGTGTGTTGCCCCATGCTTCCCAACCCACCCCGCACTGCAAATGGAGGGGAACTCGGAACCTTCGGGTTGGGTTGGGGTGGTTTGGTGGGCGGTGAGTGGGGTGCGTGGGTTTGGGGGCACGAGCTCGTCAAACCCCCTGCCCTGGGGCCGTCGGGGCGGCGTGGGCCTGTGGGATAGGTCACGGAGTCTGGGGTGGGACCCCTCGTCTGCATCTCTCTCAGCAGTGCCAGGGCGTCGTCCAAGGTCTTGTCTCCTCTCGGCGGCAAGCAAGGCGGGAAAGTGAGAAGCAGGAGGCCTTCTCAGCAGGCGGCTGGGCTTCTCAGAAGCCCTCCGGCCTCCTGAGCAGTTTCCTTTATCTTCGGGGAAGATTTCGAAGACTTCTCATAGGGCCGGGGGGACTCCCGAGCCTTCTTGGAAGGCCGCTTCCCCCTGGGCTCACCGCCGATCCTCTGCCGCAGGCGTTGATCATCGCGTTGTACGCGCTGAGGCTGCGCTGGGCGCCCTGCAGGCCTTGCTGCTTCATCGACGTGAAGACTTGCTGGGCCTTGTCCGTCTGCGCGTTCCGGTCACAGGTGCTGATCACGATGCTGTAGGTGCCCGCGTCCGGCGTGATCCCGAGCCTATCTGCAAGACGCAGGGATGGTCGCGTCGTAAAAAACGATTTTGTGCCCGGACAGAACACCTGGGCGACACAACCCGAAGGGAGGTGGCCAAGGTGCCTGCATGAATTCACATGCAGTCGGACCTCGCAACACGAACGGCGGCACGGACCGCCCCTGGCGTTATCCGCGCCGCCGTTGCGAGGTGCCTCGAGATGCCACCCCGAGACACGGCCACCGGCACCACCCCCACTTGGCCGCCGGCCTCAAGCAGCGGAGGCCCCGGTGCCCAAGGACTTAAGTTCCCGCGCCCCCACGTCGGGGGACCCCTTCGAGTAACCCCATCGGGCCTCTCAGGGGTGGTACGGCGGGCCCGCACCTACTGTGGCTGGCCAACCACAGGGCAAGAGTCTCTCCCACAGCCCCGTCGAGCTGTGGTGACGATCGGGCTGCCAACCCGCCTGTTTTCCTGGGGCGCCAGCGTCGTAAAAAAACGGCGGGAGGTTCTTGGCCGTTTGCGGCCTCCGGGGCCGTCGCGGGGCCCAGAGACCGTCAAAACTCGACTCGAGATGAAAAGCTGGTCCCGGGGAATGCGTTGGAACCTCCAGAGGCCCCGTATCGAACAACAATCAGGACAACGCATGTCCGAAGACCCGTCGCACGTGCTGGCCCAGCTCCCCCCGCCCCGATCTGGCCGCTCCGACACATCCCCCCATCATGTGTTGCAAGATTTCGTTCATTTTTGGAAAGGTTCTCTCGCCTCGGGATGCTTATCATGCTTTCCACGCCGAGAGCGATCCGAGGGGCGCCCGAATCGCTCCGAACGACTGCCAGAGGCTCGAGTAATGGCCCAGAGACCGCCGAGAGAAGGGGCCAGACCTCAGCTCGTTCTGGGAAAACCACGACGGCAAAACTTTTGCCGCTTCGGCCTCCAAAAGACATGACCCGGCCCTGGGACAAAGAAAACATGGCTCCGGATGAGGGAGCGGGCCCAGACAAGGAATCTACTCAGACCCCCTGGGGACCCACGTTTCGGGCGCGCGCCAATATGGACTACGGATGCAGTGCCCATCGCTCATTCTGGCGCATCCACTCGCCCGTCTCCTCGAACCTGGAAGAAAAAAGACGACGCCAGAGATCTGGAACGCTCCCCTGCAGGTGACTGATGCGGGCGCGCCTCGGCGAGGCCACCTGCGGCCAGAGCGCGGCTATTCCTCCGCCGGCGCCCCGAGCCTGAATCATCCTCTGTTTCTGGGGCGAGCGGGGAGGGGGGAAGGGTCAAGATCGGAGTCCCCGAGCTTTCCTTTACGCACACATCTTCACAAACACATGTGTATGTGTACATATGTATGCACGCATGCTTGCATGCATGCATGCATGCATGCATGTATGTAAATGTGTACGATTGGATGCATGCATCCGTAAATATACATGCATATACACATATATGTGTATGCGTGTATGTGTGCACGTATGTGTGTATGCATGCATGCATGTATGTATGTACGCATGCATTCACGAATGAGTGTATGCAGGTGTGTATGTATGTATAGGTGTATTTATGTATGTATGTATGCATGCATGCATGTATGTATGTATGTATGTATGTATGTATGGATGGATGTATGTATGTATGTATGTATGTATGTATGTATGTATGTATGTGTGTATGTATGTATGTATGTATGTATGTATGTCTGTATATTTGTATGGATGGATGTACGACTGTATGTATGTACGTATGTAGGTGTATGTGTGTATGTTTACACGCATATATGTATGTACGTATGCATGTATGTATGTGCATGTATGTATGCATGCATGCATGCAAGTCAGCAAGTAAGCATGCATGCACTTACGTAAGGTTGCATGTATGAAGGTAGGCAGGCAGGCAGGCAGGCAGGTACGTACGTATGTATGTGAGTAGGTGTGTATGTATGTATAGGTGTATGTGTGCATGTATGTATACATGTATGTCTCCGATTCCCTCACTTTAACTACGGGTGAACAACCTCATACATAATATATAATGACAATCATGCATGCATACATGTATAATTATACATACGCAAATGTCATGGTCATGTACACACCATATGCATATTTATATGTGTGTGTGCACATCTGCTTACGCATACATTCACAACGCCAGCAATGCTCGCAAGGTTGAATGCGGGAACGTCGGGCTTTGAGGCCCTTCGTGGCCCCAGATCTGGCAGACAAAAAAAAGCGTTTCGTTCCGCCGAGATGCTGATCTCAACGATCCGATTCTAGGTCAATCGACGGAACTTCGGCTGACGCCCATGTATATTTGTAAATACAAAGATGTATGTATGTATGTTTGGTTTGTATACATATATGTCTACATACACACGCGCGAAAAGAGTCTCCAAGCCTCTGCATCTCCGCGTAGAACTCCATGACCTTCTGAGGGTACCGCTCCCTGCAGGCGCCTATCAGGGCGCCGAACGTGTACGCGTCCGGCAGGATGCCTCGCTGCTGCATGTCCTGGTGCAGCTCCAGCGCCTTGTCTGCCCATTGGCTACGGGAGCACGCGTGGACCAGCTTGCCAAATGTGATGGCATTGGGCTCGATGCCGCACGCTTTCATGGTTTCGAAGAACTCCCACGCCTTCTCAGGCTGCCCGCTCTGCCCCATTGCGCCAATGAGCGAGGTGTACGTCACGACGGTTGGGGCAAGGCGCTTGGACTGCATCTCCTCCCATACATCCAGCGCCTTCTCCGGATTGCTTCCGCGCCCGCATGCGCTGATGAGACAGTTGTACGTAATGGCGTTCGGCATGCACTGCTGTACTTTCATCTCGTCGAACAACTCCAATGCTCTCGCTTGCTGCTTGCTCTTGTCGCACGCGCTGATCAGTGCAGTGTACACGCTTGTCGTCGGAGGGATATTTAAGTGGCGCATCTCTTCCAAAAGCGCCAGCGCCTCGGAATACTGCCTGTTTTTAGCGCGCTCCGTGATCATCCGCACATACCTGTAGGGAGTCCGGATCGACAAGACGCAAGAGTGATGTTGTTTCGTGGCGTCAGGGTCCCGAGAGTGGTGTTTGGGCACGATTCAGGGTCTTCAAGCGGGTGTCTTCCGACGAGGCACTTCCCTCAGCGGAAATGGAACTTCACAGGGCCTATACAGAGGAAGCTTGGATGGAGGGTTTACTCCAACATGGTTGATGAGTATTGGGTTTACACTGGTCCTCCCTATCCTCCTACCCACCTTCCTCCTCGTCTTCGTCATCCACGCTCTCCTGTGCACCTAGTCGCCGTGATTTGATATCCCCCTTTCCTCCCCCTACTCCTCCGCCTCCTCCTCCTCCTCCTCCTCGCCCTCCTCGCCCTCCTCCTCCCCCTCCTCCTCCTCCTCCTCCTCAACCTCCTCCACCTCCTCCTCCGCCTCCTCCTCCACCTCCTCCTCCTCCTCCTCCTCGATCTTCCTCCTCCTCCTCCTCCTCCTCCTCCTCCTCCTCCTCCTCCTCCTCCCCATCGATCCTCGACCCTCGAGCGGGGCACCGCTGGCAAATGGCCTGGCGCCCCGCGTCCGCCTGCCCGCCCTCCCGGCCCTCGGCCTGCGCCCGCGCGCGGGGTGCCGCTGCGGGCGGCGCCCCGGGAGCGCGCCGGGGCTCGCGCTCCTGCGGGCCGCCAGCTCACCTCTGCTCCGTCTCTGACTACCTACCAGACCACCCCAACCCAACCCGAAGACCCGAATTTCGGGTTGGGGGGGGCAAGGGTTCCATACGTGTTTTTTCGATGGTTCCCGACCCCCCCCCCAACTGGAAATCGAGGGTAAATTTGAGCCTTCGGGTTGGGTTGGGGTGGTTTGGTGGGTGGTGAGTCTCGCGTCGCCGAAAAATCAGGACGGGAGGTTTTTGGCTACTCTAAAACAGGGCTAGGATCGGGATAAATCGCTCCAGAGCGTTCCGGAGCGCCCTCAGAGCGTTCCGGAACGCTCTGGAGCGGCCGCGGCGCCCAATACATCCTCCAAACCCGCCGATTCTCAGAGATTTCGAGTTATCCCGATCCGATGTTGTCCCGATCTTCGCGTCGTTTTATACTCTCGGCCCCAGGGGCCCTCGCCGGGCCTCGGGACCGTCGACAAAACGACTCCGGACCCAAGACTGGTCCATGGGGAAGGAGTCGGGACCTGCAGGGACGCCGTCCTGAACAAATCAGGACGTCGCATGTCTGGGAACGTACTGAAAGATGAAACCCTCTTCCCCATTCTTCCAGACCTTCCGCACTAATCTTCCGCCCCTTCTTCGACATGCTCTAGGTGGGCCGCCTTGAATTACGTCAGGCTTCCATGGGTCTCGATGAATTCTTCCGCACTTTCCGCGGAGGTCGGAAGGTATGGAAGGTGGAGGTGGAGGGAACCAGGACGAGGACAAAACAATGGGTGGTGATAGATCGGGAATCTCTGAGAGATCTGGCGGTTCTGGAAGGTGTATCGGGCGCCGCGGCCTTCTCCGAGCGGTCTAAAACGCTCCCAGAGCGTTCCAGAACGCTCTGGAACGGACTTCTATTCGTCCTAAGCCCCCGCCTGGAAACGGCTGGCTCCTCCACCCGGCCGAGGCTGACCACCGTCGTCGCCGTCGTCGTCGTCGTGGCCGCCGCCGCCGACGCCACCGAGGGCCCGCGCCGAAGGCCGGCGCCGAGAGCCGCCTCCGACCTCGTGCGGGTCGGGGGGGGGGCTCAGCTCCCAGGCATATGATCGCGTCGTAACAGAAAATGCCGACGGCAGGTTCCCGGCGGGTTTCGGCCTCTGCGGGGGCCCCCGCGGGGCCCCGGGGCCGTCGAGAAACGCTGCAGGATGAAGAACAAGTCCCGGGGAATGGGCCGGGGCCTCCAAGGACCCTGCAGCGAGAAAAAAGCAGGCCAATGGGCTCCCCTGACTTCGGATCCGCCCAACCCCCCCTCCCTCGCGTTTCGCGCCTCCCTCCCTCCCTTTTTGCTATTTCCCCCTTTTTGTTATTTCCCATTCCCTGGCCTCCCTCCCTCCCCTTTCTTTAATTTCACCCCTTTGGTTATTTCCACCCTTCCCTCCCTCCCTCCCCTGGCCTCCATCCCTTCATGTTTGCTATTTCCCCCATTTTGCTATTTCCCCTTCCCTGGCCTCCATCCCTCCCTTTGTGTTATTGTCCCCCCTTTGTCACTGTCCCTCCCTCCCTTCCCTGACCTCACTCCCTCCATTTTTGTTATGCCCCCTCCCCCTCCCCGCCCAGGGGCGCGGGGTCAACTGCGCCGCGCGAGCCTGCCGGGGTCGGGGTCGGGGGCAGTTCGCGCGCAGGCTCGTGGAGGCGAGGACGACTCATCCTCTCAAGCCGCTGCAAGGAGTGCAGTGCGCAAGTCCGCCGCCTCGGAGGCGTGTCCGCCGCACTCTTTCTGGGCGACTTCGCGAGGAGGGCGGCCACTTCCACCCTGCTCCTACGCTGCTCCCATCGCACTCAAGGGCCAAGTCCCGGAAATGCTCTCGAACACCCAGACAAGTATCTCGAAGCAAAGCCGAACGAGCATCGCTTCCCAGGGCCCGGCACGTGAAAATCCTCAAGTTTCGGTACTTCCCTGGTGCTCGAAAGTCTTTGTGGTGATCAAGGCTACAGTAGTTGGAACATCACAGCCCGAATCTTCGAGCTCCTTTGATGTCGATGCCCGCCCTGCTGTGCCGTTGTCGTCGCCGCTTTCGCGGGACTTCCCGCCCTCTGTTATGAGGCGGAAATGTGTATGCCCTGATTCCTCCAGATTTCGTAATAAAGGGAGGGGGGTCTCATTTCGGGGGGGGGGGTCTTTTCCAGGCTACCTTGGAGGGCCTGGGGGGGTCTGGGGACGATGTTTTGGAGGGTTCTCCCAGGGGGGGGGTCTAAAACTTCTCGTCTGGGAGGGTTGAGACCCCCTTCCCTTCTATCACGAAATCTGGAGTGCTTGTCGCATCGTGCGGGATGCATCGTCCGGGGCCCGCGCTCCGGCAGGGCGGGGGCGCGGATGCGAGCGAAGCCCAGACCTCCCCTCGTCGTCACAAAATTCAGCGCGCGCGCGTCGCGTGCGCCCAGGTCCGACCTGTCTCGGGGAGCTGGCGCGAAGTGGGGGAGGAGGGGGGGGGCGGTGCCCGAATGAGAGGGCGCTGTTGGTGTGGGAGCCGGCGCGTTCGTTGCCGATGTCGCGCTCCGCGCGGACTTCTTGGAGTCGCGCTGGACCCCCCTCCCTGGCGCGCGGGGAGCGGGCCCAGGCGCGGATCCTAGAAACCCGCGCGGAGCGCCAAAAGTTTATGTTCATGTGGTTGTTTCCTTCTTCGGGTTAGGGCGAGAGGTGCCCAGAGCCCTCGCCGTCGCTCGGACGTCCCCTTCCAGTGCATTTTTCGGTTTCGTGCGTGTTTTTTTTTGCTCGATGATCCAGGATGGTCCTCGATGGTTCTCGCCGAGAAAAAATGCACACGTCCGAGCGAGCCCAGAACCAGGCAGCTTGGCAGCACTTGGCCTCCCTGGCGCCTGCCGTCCTCTCGGAGGCTCCCGAAGGCCTCCCGTCGCCGCACCTGGATCTGCGCGCCGAGAGACTGCAGGGGCCCAGGGGCACACAAGTAAGCTCTGGATTCCCAATGTTTTCCTATGTTTTCCTGGGCGTTCGTCTTCCTCCCCACTTCCCATGCCTTCCTATATTTTCCTTGGGACACACCAATAATCTCAGGATCCCAATTTTTCCGATGTTTTCGGGGCTTTCGTCTTCCTCCCCACTTCCCATACAGTCAAAAACCCTAGTAAGGACGCGCGGCGAGGACGCAAGACCCTTGGAAGCCGAAGTTGGGATTTCTGGGGCGGCGGACGACGAAAACCTCAAGGACGCAAGAGCAAGGAAGAGCAAGGACGCAAGGGTACCCTGAGCAAAGTCGCGCGTCCTTCTTCGGGTCTTTGACTGTACCTTCCCAGCTTTTCCCTGGGAATCGACGATGAGTTGTGTCCGTGTGTCTGTTTCCCTCCCGAGAAACGAATGAGGATGGGCCCCCGGGCGGGTCCAGGGACCGCCTTTGAGCGGATTCTGGCCGGCGCGGGAGCGAGCGTGGCCCGGCCCAGGCGTGACCTCGTCGGAGGCAGCTCCTGGGAGGGCGCCGAGCAGAGCGCCATGTCCAGGCTGGAAGGCAGGACGAATCCGGAGCAGCCAGGACGGTGCCGGCCTGGCCGATTTCCAGAAGAGCATTACCATACGATGTTCATACGGTTTTCCGCATGGCACGAACAGTCGTCACCGGGCCATGTTTGTACTAGTCTTGCGTATTCTTCCTGTCACGGAATGTGCCCGAAGTAGATGTACCAGCGCCAACGCTGAACAGAACCTCCCAGGAATTGCAACCAAGCGTAATATACGGGTCGAAGGCGCGGGGTCCCTGGAGATCCCGAGAAGACTCGTTCATTGAGGTCCCTGGAGGTCCCTGGAGGCCCTCATTATCTCAACACGTGGTCCCCAGGACCAACTTCTCACCCAGAGTCGTGCATTGACGGCCGACGCCCGGCAAAAGGCCCGCGGAGGCATCAAAAATAGCGAACAATCTCCCGTCGTGATCTTTTCGCAGCGCGAGGTGGTCTGGGTCTCGTCGTGAACAGGGCGGAGAGCAGACAGTGTGTGTCGCTGGAGGCGGCCCTGGCCCAAGGCGCCCGTGCTGCTCCTCGCGCCACGCTGGAACCCCACGGGGTCCTTCGGGCCTGCAGAGTTCCTCGCGCCACGGCACGGGAGGAGGCCATCCGCACGGGCGCGCGAGTGGTCGGGGACGCGCGGCGGACTAGCTGCCCGGCCGGCCGCGAGGACAAGAGGGGGGAGGGGGGCACTCACGGCTGGACGCGTCGCAGGGGGAGGGGGGGGCTTGACGAGCATACGTCGGCAGGACTGCGCACACGCTCTCCGAGGTCACTGCCATCGCTCGGACGTCCATTCCCCGTGCATTTTTTGTTGGCTTCGCGCGTGCTTTTTTGGCTCGATGGTCAAGGATGCTGCTCGATGGCCGTCGCCGAGAAAAAACGCACACGACCGAGCGATGCCAAAAGGGTCAGCTCAGACTTCCTGGGTCGGCGCCTGGCTCACCCGCCCCGACGCGGGCCCGGCGCAGGCGCAGGAGGTCCGGGCGCACCTTCGAAAGCGCACGCGGATGCCGTTGCTCTCTTCTTATTTGAAGGGAAACTGGGACACACAAATAAATACACACAAATAAAATTATTCCCCATATTTTCTTATATTTTCTGGGTTTTTGTCTTCCCCCCCACTTCCCATAATTTCCCATATTTTCTTGGGAGTCGACGATTAATTGTGTCTGTGTGTTTTTTCCCCTCCTGATTATTGGGGTGAGCCTTCTCCTTCTTCGATTTTCAAGCGTTAACATCATTATTATGTGCTTGTTCTTCTCACTCGCTCCCTGGGAGGAGCTGGGGCCACCACTGGGCCAGGGCCACCTTGGGGGGAAGGTCGACGGCAAGGGGGCACCTGCTCAATAGGGGTAAACATTGACCTGGACTCGGCGATAGTTGGCGGTGCGCACAGGGGGGTGAAGGGAGGGGGGAGGGCTTCTTCGAAGGAGGCTTCTTAGAAGGCCGGGGCTTCTAAGAAGCAGGGGTGCTTCTAAGAAGCCCTCCCCCCTCCCTTCACCCCCCTCTGCGCGTGGCTGAGATACATCGCCGATCGACCGGCAACGCGCCCCCGATAGCAAAACCGCACGCCCCAGAGCCGTGGGGGGGGGGGCTACGAGGCCCCTGCCGGCCAGGAGTGGGCGACCCGGGGTTCGGTGCGTCCCACACCGATGGCGCCCCAGGGTGCACAACGAGGTAGACACAAATCCCAGGAGCCCCCCTACTCTTCCGCACGATCTGGAGCTTCGTCTTCCCGACCAGCCATAACTGGGGGAGCTGTGGTCCTTACCCCCCTGGGGGAACCCATCGCCTCGACGAGCTCTCGAGAGGGGTGTCGAAATCGATGGGTCCCCCAGGGGGTTAAGGACCTCAGCTCCCCCAGTCGTGGCTGGCCTGTCTTCCCCTCCGCTTCTGATTTCTTTGATGTTTCCTGGGCAGTCGATGCATATGTGTGCCTGCGTCTATTCTTCCCTCTGGACTACCGCTGCCCCTGGAAACTTCTGGCCACCCCCGGGCGGAAGGAGGCGCTCCCGCAAGCTGCCGGGGTCACGCGCCGGCGGCGCGCCGCTGCCGGCGTCCAGCGTGCTCCTCCCCGGAACGGCGAGAAGGTCTGGTTCAAGAAAGGTGCTTTCGACAACTGCTGGGGTGCCTCCTGAGCTGCCTCGATACGCAAAGCGCGACACGTAGCGTAGTGATACGGAGCTCAACACGTAGACGGAACATGCAGGTCTGACGCGATACGTTTGCCAAAACGAGGGCCAACACGCTGAGCCAACACGCAACGTATCGACACGGACGTTTTCAGCACGGTACGTGTTACGCTTCAAAACGGGCGTATCGAGGCAGCCATGGGAGGTTCAGGTCGACTGGGCCGGACGAAAGGGGTTGATAGCAAAGGGTATAGGGCAGAGCATCAGCTCATGTACACAGTGCTGTTCCCCACGTCTCCTGGCGCCGGGAGGCGCCCATGCATCGAGGAACGGGCCCCGCGGCGGGGCCGAAACCAGCTGCATGCATCAGATGTCGTAGCTCCTTCTTTCCCTATCCTGCCCTTGCGCCGGGCCCGAGTCGAGCTGGGGGGCCTCCGGCCGGGCCCGGGGGAGGGGGTTCAGGGCGGCCGAACTTTTCGGGCGGAACTCGGGGATTGGGGTGAGGAGAAGAAGGAATAGGACGAGGAGGAGAAGGAAGAGGACGAGGAGGAGAAGGAAGAGGACGAGGGGGAGGAAGAGGAGGAGGAGGAGGAGGAGGAGGAGGAGGAGGAGGAGGTCCAGGGGAAAGCCAGCCCTGTCCAACAACTACCCTTCTGGCAGCCTCCGGTCCTCCCCGAGGGGTGGCGGCAGGAGTCCCTGGCCGCCCCGCCGTCCGGCTGGTGCAGCGACATCTTGCCCACCTTGCCCGCGCCCTTGGCTGGGAGGTCGGCACTGTCGAAACGTGCGAGGAAAGGGCGGGTAGGAAGCCTAGCATGGGACGCGCAAGAACGTACTAGAAGCATGTGCCATCCACGGAGGCGTGCGTCCGACCCGAACAAAGCGTATGACCATCTTGTAGTACATCGTTTCACGAGCGGCATGCCCTGAAAGCGCACGCCACGGAGCCTATATTTGATCTGTTGTGTTTCCAGGGACGCAGTAGATCGAACAAAAAGAGTCTGCGGAGAACGGATTGACGTAGAATGAGACCTGCTGGAGAAGGTAGAGGACGAAGAGAAAGAGGTATGCGAACCACACAACACAAACCCTTGATCATCCAACCGTTTCACCGGGGCGGAAAATTCTCCGCCGAATTTCATCTCGCGGCAACCAGAAGAAAGGCCTATAAGCGGGCCTGCGCCCGACAGCTCGAGGCAGCATCGACGAAGCGTGCTGGCATGAGGACCAGCAGCAGCAGCGTGCGTGCCCATAGCGGTAAATCCTGCAACTTCCAGGCAGCAGTCTTTTAGCAGTCTGGAAACGAAGGACTTGGACAAGTTCGGAGCGCCGATGCACCTGGACGTGCCTGGCGCGTCTGAGGGGCAACATTAGGGTTAGGTCGGGCGTGTCCCCCTATAGGTATATTTGTTTTTGCGAAAAAAATCAAACACAAACAAAAACATGAGCGCAATCGTCGCCATACTATGTTTTGACTATGTTTGAATATTCCCCCTGAAGAGGGACAGGCCCGACATAACATTAGGGGAGCGATCGGCCCAGGGAGGGCACCACCTAGCTGGAATCGGCGATGCGTCGCCATTGTATCGGCGACGGGCACCCGACAGCGAAACCGCCGCCTCATGGGCGGGCTGGGCTATCGGGCCCCCTATCTTAGAAGAAGAAGACATGGAGAAACGCCATAATCATAAACTTTTGGCGCTCCGCGCGGATTTCTCGGATCCGCGCTGGGGCTCCCCTCCCTGGAGCGCGGAGCGCGCCAGGGGCGGCGCCAGAGGCGCCGCTGGGGGGTCCCAGCGCGGACCCAAGAAATCCGCGCGGAGCGCCAAAAGTTTATGCTTGTGGCGTTTGCTCTTCTTCGATACCTGCGATCGAAGGGGCGAGGGGCGGTCGACGCGTGCCCCCTGGGCAGATCCCCCCCGAGCGTTGCCCCTGACTCGGACTTCGGTCTTACGGCCATAACGCGAGGCTTCCCAAATGAGGTCCGAGTAGATTGAGGGGGCCCCAGGACACACAAGTAAGCACACACAAATAAACATATTCACCAACTTTTCCTATATCTTCTGGGTTTTTGTTTTCCCCCCCACTTCCCATATTTTCCCATATTTTCTTGGGAATCGACGATTCATTGTGTCTGTATGTCTTTTCCTCTCCTGATAGATGGGGTCGCAGGATCGCGCTCTATCGCTGATGCATCGCGCATGCACCGGCGACTTCGGTGATGCATCGACGACGTCGGCGCGCAGAAGAATCGGGTTCCGCATCGCGCCGCGTCGTGGATGCATCGGCGAGGCGGCGCGATGATCCGAACCCATCTCCTCGGACTCCCTTACAGTCATCGGCCTGACCTGAGGAACGATAAATAAGGAACGAAGCCCATTTTCATGCAAAGGAATAACGCATAAGGAACGAAAATAATATATAACGCATAAGGATCGGTAAATAACGCATGTAAAACCTAAGGAACGACCGAGCCCCTTTTGAAAAGTAAGTGTTCCTCATTCAAGCCGCTCACTGTACTCGAGAGGCCTGGAGTAATCAACTCGGGCCGCTGGCGGCCGTTCGGGACGATCAGGGCACA